GGGTGCTGGACTCAACTAAAATAAATTAAGATATAATGGGCCATATAAACTATTGTTGGTGCACCAACTATTTGGTGCACGGAAGCCTGTTTTTTTTTAATGCGTCTATTTAGTTCAGTTTAAAGAGTGTGAAATAAAAGATCTGACTAGCATGGCAACTGTGCAAAGAATCCCAAGTGCAACTTTTTGCTCAAAAATGTTTCACAATCTGCATCAAATAAATAATGGTGCAGAAAATTAGTTTTAATAATAGTGCTCCAAGAAGATGATGGCAACAGTTGCACATTCTACAATGTGCAAAATAAACTATGTGCTCTGCGACATAATTGTAAATCTTGTATTGAACTGTATTGTTGCTGTATTGTCTCCCTTTAAATTGTAAAGCGCTGAGCAAACTGTTGGCGCTATATAAATCCTGTATAATAATAATAATATATGACATGCAATGCACCAAAATAAGATGTCGCATGCAACAATTTGCTTTCCTTAGCAACTGCCTATCTTCGATTGTCTGGCCCAATGCAGCTAAGCTCTGACATGAGATCTAAGAATGCCAGCTTGTTATATTAGTGAACTATTTGAGTAAATGTGGCTTAAATTCATTGCTTCACAATGTTGTTACAGTTGTGTATATTCACACCTGTGCACTTGGTAGCCAGTGTGGGTCTGGGAGCAAAAGCAGACAGCAGCTGCATCGAGTGTGTCTGTCTAGAAACTGAAGAACTACATAGCTTCTGCTTGTTTTTGCAACATATTTGCTTTTGGATGTGCTTTCTGTGAATTATTAAAAGTGTACCAGTGCTTAGACTATGGCCATTAGAGTATTTATATATCCTTAACAAGCAGTAAATTATGTTTAATCACTTGCCCTCCTGAAGATTTACCCCCCTTCCTGACCAGGCCATTTTTTGCATTACGGCTCTGCAGTACTTTAACTGACAATTGCGCGGTCATCATGCAATGCTGCACCCAAATAAAATTTACATCATTTTTCCCCAGAAATTAAGCTTTCTTTTGGTGGTATTTGATCGCCTGTGCGGTTTTTTTTTGCTCTATAAAGAAAACGACCAACAATTTTGAGAAAAAAACAATATTTTTGACTTTTTGCTGTTAAACATGACCAGTAAAAAAACTTAAAAAAATCAAATTTTGTCATAAATTTAGGCCAAAATGTATTCTGCTACATGTTTTTGCTAAAAAAAAATCCCAATATGTGTAAATTTATTGATTTATTTGAAAGTTATAGCATTTACAAACATATATATATATATATAGAGAGAGAGAGAGAGAGAGAGAGAATTTTTTTGTACTAGTAATGGCAGCGATCAGCGACTTATAGCATGACTTCAGTGGACATTCTGACACTGGGGGAACTGACTTGGTATCACTGACATCCCCAGTGACACCAATATAGTGATCAGTGCTAATGTAGAGCACTGACACTGTACTAATGGCACTGGGCAGAAAGGGGTTAACATGAGGAGTGAGCACTTCACTGTAAGCACACTGCTTTGGATGGCTGTGCTGTGCACAGCCATCCAAAGCAGTGTGCCTGAGCAGACAGGGAGGAGAACTGTTAGTAAACAAAACAGCTCTACTCCTCGGTAATCACTGGGCTCGGCAAGTGACCCAGTGATTTACAGTTGTGGCTGCGAATGGTTCAGCAGGTAGGGCGTGCGCGCCCCTTACCCAGAAATGCAAAATCACGTATATATATATATATATGTTGCGCACTCATGCCTCCCTATAGCAGTATTTCTGCTATAGGGTGGTCGGGAAGCAGTTAAAGCAAGCAATTCCTGACCTTTGTAGTTGCATGCAATCAGAGTAGTGCATCATTAAAATCATAATAGTTGAAGTTGGTTGAAAATCTATCATTTTTTTTTTTTTACTGTTATGTTCCCTATGGGACAGAGTACATGTAATACTTTGTCCTATGTTGTTAGGCATTTCCTAGCTTTAGCTATGAGGTCCGACCATCCTCCCCTCCAGCCAATGGTTGGTCCAACAAGACACAGCAATTTGCTCAGATGGGCCTTATAGACTAACATGGAAATATTATTGTTGAGCTTTATCACACTTCTGAGAATGCACAACAAACTGATCAGGTATGAATGGGGGCAGATGTGCGTACAGTGACACACAGCTAGCCATAATCAGTAATGATTTTTCATTACATGACCTTACATTATTCCTGGACCTTTGATTACATGCAAATGAAAGAGAAACATATTCAGTCCATACTATGGGGGAAATTTACTAAAACTTGTATGTGCAAAATCTGGTGCAGCTCTGCATAGAAACCAATCAGCTTCCAGGATTTATTGTCAAAGCTTAACTGAAGAAAATGAAGACAGAACTTGATTGGCTATCATACACAGCTGCACCAGATTCTGAGTGTTCTAGTTTTAGTAAATTCCCCTCTATATGTATAAGCATACCCCAACATATACATCCTACCATAGAAAATCCAAATCTAAAACAGGTATAGATGCACTCACAGGTCTTACCCGCAGCAGCATTTTAGTGTCAGCTGGTGACCACAAGTTACTTTGCATTAAATGGAATTTTACCAGATTCGGCAGTAGCAGTATAGCACTACAAACACAAAATAGGGTGTACTTTATATGCAGATACCATTGCACCTCAAAAAAGATGAACACTAGCTGCAGACCTGGTTGACTGCCAGTGAGAATAAAAATTTTCAGGATAAAACCCTTTGCTGTGATTTAACAATGCTAAAGCAAGTGCTATTGTATAGTTTATTCCACAAAAAAATGACAGCACTCAGCATGTGTTTATTTCTGCTAAGGCTCAGGACCTCATGCACGGAATATCTCCAGGAAGGTGATATATATGCTTTTTATGGCAACCAGTCAATTGTTTTTGTAATTCATGGTAGAAAAATAAAAGGGAGAATCTGATTTATTGCTAAGGGCAACAGAGATACAATATATTTAGAGACCTTATACTCACCTTTGTGCAATATCTCTCCTGTCTACAAAACCAACAGCAGAGACACCAGTTAAATATATTGGGATTTCCATTGGTGGAATCCCAGTGAGCAAGAGGAAGGGTGTTTAGTCCTTAGCAAAGGTAGTATAGGCAAACACTGTCCAGATTACTCATTTTAAATATATCAACTGAGCATTGTCAGTTTATTTTCCCAGTTTTCACAGCAGCTCATATTTGCTGCCAACAATAAACCATTGTAACAAAATTGGGTGGGATGGGGTGGGGGAAGGTAGGCAGAAGCAGGTGTCATGAACGTGCACACCAGAGGCAGGACGCAGCCTTCATTTTGTTAAGAATCTCCATTTTCTCCCCTCATACTTTCCCTCTCCCTCTCTGAGAGGCACAGTGATATTTGGCCAGTGTGTGTGTGTGTTAGGAGTGTCACAGGAGGTCAGAGCCCAGCAGGGGAGCTATGAGCTGTAGGACCCCCAAGGGAGCTGGGGCCTCACTGTCCAAAGAACCTGTAAAATGTAGCACCTCGTAAAAGCTACAGCAAGCCTTCCCAGGGGTTCAAAGACAACAAAAGGAAGGCGGGAACAGCTAACACTTTTAAAAATCCATTTTTCCCCTATGTCTCATATATTGGAATATGAGAGACTTACATAAAAACCAGACATATTGCCAGATTGGCCACGAGGAGGCCAACAGTTTGATAGGTTACTCTTTGTGGTTGGAATACATAGAAAAGCAGAAAAGTAGATCTCGTGAACCATTCAGTGTAGAATTTCATAATTCATATCTAATCAATCCTCAGACGTGTCTGCATAATAATCTACCCGCGGATGGAAGGTCACTTGTGCATAGGAAAAGTTATGAGCAAAATATGAGTTATGAGAGATTCTGGCTCTAGTTGAGGTATCCGCCTGACGATCCCTCCCTAAACGGGGTATTGGTCCTTGACTTCAGAGATACCCCCTGCTAGGGAACTACAAAATGGGCTGTCAGGCCTAAGAGAGCTAAGTTGAAGAATTCTCCCTTTTAACATCAGGACCACCTGGGGACACCCGTGCCTTTTTCTCTGAAACTAGATCTGCTAACCCAGGACTTTGGCAAGTACTTTAACCCTTTAACCTCTCCCTGTTATCTCTTTGCTGGGCTGTTGTTCTCTGTATATTTATATATATATTGGTTACATCTTTGTTCTATAAATATTTTTATTGCACCCCTTTTTGACTTTTCTTGGTAATAAATCTTTTCTTCTGAAACTGTTGAACTGTTTCTATAGCTCTTTATTGCAATTTACGAATTCCTGCCTCTAAAAGAGCGCTACTGTGTTTGTTTAACCCTCTGTATAACCGGCCTGCGGTGACCGTGTTATACAGATGATTATTTCAACCATTATAGTGTTATAGATGATATTGCCGAGTTTCCTCTTTCTCTGTACAAAAAGGAGGTGGTGGCAGTGTGAAGGGTTAATTACATAATTAACCTGACCCAGTAACAATCGCTCAAGGCTGCCGGTACATAGGTTGTGGTCCAATTAGCTGGAAAATTGTTGTGCAGGGTGCAGCTGGGTGTGGCATTGTTATGCACGTGACATCGCGGTTTTAGATTGGCTAGTCCTTCGGTCACGAGTTTGGTGAGAAGGGCTGGGGTCTGACGACGTGTTCGTCACATATTGGTGACAGCGATCGTGGAATCGTCACATATTGGTGGCAACGATCTTGCATCCGTCACATATTGGTGGCAGCGATCTTGCGTCCATCACAGCAGGATCAGCAGGTTATGTAGAAAATGAATGACAAAGAGATGCTATGTTCAGCTTACATGCAGCCTGTTTATTCTGAGGTTTCTTGTTAGGTTAAACCAGAAGTGAAAATGCTAGTCTGTTACAACATTTTTAAAGGCAAGTAGAAGATCATATGGGCTACAAAAAATACAAAATAATAAGATTACCATGCTAGTCATATTATTTTCTCAAAATGAATAGTGAATCATATAGATCAGTACAGTATAATTTACTGTTTCTTTTCTTCCATGCACAGGCCGTTCCACCTCCTAATTTTGAGATGCCGGTTTCCATTCCGGTGACCAATCCTAACAGCTTGGCATACAGCAATCCAGCTGGTTCACTGGGTAATCATAACCTATTGCCATTGTCCCATCAGTCCTTGCAAAGAAACAGCATGTCTCCAGGCTTGACACATAGGCCACCCAGTGCAGGTAACACAGGTAAGGAAATTATTTTTGTGTTTCAGTACTTTTCAAGTGCGACCTGTTCAGCCCAAAAAGAAGTGCCATGGGCACCCTGAGAGGGGGGCGAGGGGTTGTCTTCAGTGCCTAATAAATGGCATTTAAGAGATTGGTGATCCTAAAATACAAATGATCTTGCTGAAGATGTAAAGCTTTCATATCAGTGCAGAAATTGAGATGTATGGCTGGTATTAATATATGTCTGGAGAGTAGAGAAACTACTAAATGTAACTATGACCTATGGTTCTATTTGTTATGTAAGCAATCCTTTTAGGCTAAACAGAAGCTCATATAAGACCCCCTGCTATCAGTTTAAACATTTGAATGGACTTGAGTGGAACCTAAAAAGTTATTACATTAATCATCAGGTAAAGTGATTCTGTTTCAAAGAAATGTTTCTATAATAAAAGTCTCTGCATAGTGAAGAGAAACCACCAGCTGAGGAACCTTCACTTCCGTGAGTGTCAGATTGCCAAATCTTCTGCTGTGCTTAGTGGCCCATATGTAACTACTGGATACAGTTGTGATGAACAGAATGAACCACAGCGCACAGCATGGGGCCAAGAATCTAACACACCCGGGAAGTGCTGGAATCTGAAGATTTTTTTAGCTGGCTGTTTATCTTCGCTTCAGCAGGGATCAGTGGCATGGGCATGAGAAAAGGTGAGTATCTACTTTATTTTAGATATTTATATAAATGTCAGAGCCACTTTAAGGCAAGCTCCTGAAACCTTTACATAAATATAGCAGTTTTTGCTCTTACATAAACCACTTAATAATTTAAACCATCTATACACACTAGATGACAGTTGCTTGAAGAGGTGATAATCTTATATCTATGGTAGCACCAGATACATATGAAGGATATGAAGACCGATCTGTTGAGCAGAGTTGACAAGTTCCTTGTGATAGGCGTAATCAAGGGCTATTAACTGCTAATTAAATATTCAAATTGATATAAATGTGTATACCTACCAGAATTTGAACGTTTATGCAGTTGAAGTGCTCTGTAGAGCATTTCATCTTAGAATAGTTGGATTTTGCACCCATGCCTTTGTTATATTGACTTACCTTTTAACATATCAGATATCTGTATATAACAATTTATATTCTAGCATACTTTATTGCATAGATCATTTTATATACACCTAATCATTCTTTAACAAGAGGAATGTAGCATCTGAATTCCGACCAATTAAAGATCAACTCCAGATAGCAAGTAGGATCAGTCCCTTAATGTTTTACTAAACCCACAACAGTAAAATCAGTCTGTATATGCAGTAAAGCATGCTTGTTACACTCACTGTGGAACCTAAGGGGTTAATCCTCTACATTTTGTAAAAAGGCTGTTTGAGCCTTTCTTCTCTGCTCTTCCTTTTTGAAATGACCACCTAATACAGACTGAATCCGTAGTCACATGCTCATGCTCAGTTTGGTGTGTTTTGCTAGAGAGGTTTTTTTTTTCTTTCTTGGGAGAGTGCATGTGATCACCAAAGGGCCAATCAGTACTGTTCAGACAGAGGGTCAGGGATTTCACATCCTCCTAAAGCAGAAAGCAAACTCCTCCTACAAGCTTTAACCAGTGCTCTGCTGAAGTCACAAGACTGCTCTAACTGTTGATGAGAAAAGCTATTTAGCAGTTTATATTTACTAAAAGAATTGCATTTCCATGTTCTGTGTACTGTGGGAGACCAGATATAGTGAATGCAGGGTCTTGGGTTTAGTATTAATTTAACTACCACAATCCTATACTCATACAAACCAGTGCAGTGAAATGTTCATGCTTTCTGTAAAAAAAACCCTCCCTGACATGCTTCAACTAAAGAAGGCCTTATACCTGTAGAATTTCATTATAAAATGTTAGTTTTAAGACCGTAAGAGTTAAAGGGGACAATGCAACAATTAGTTTTCGCCAGATCAAGCACAAAAATTGAAGCACAACGCTAGAAATTTTTCGGCAGATCTTATGGGAATGAATTTGTGATTGTTAAATTTGCTCCCAGCTGAAACAAATCCAATCACGTGCACTTTTCAAAATTAATCTGGAAGTGGAATGTTTTTCCTACAAAAATCAAGACATTAATATGGTACCTGAACCAAAATGAGTCCATGAAGGCACTGACGTGATTTTTTTTACTTTCTCATCTGAATGTTTGAAGAAAATTCTGCAGGTGTAAGGCCAGCTTAAAGATGAGTGAACACAAGACTGGAGCCATTACTGATTCTTGAATATAGCAGATTTAAGTCAATCCAACTGCCAATATACTGGACCTGGTCCAGCTGATGTTTTTCTCTTGATACCTTGACCTTACATTTATTCTTAACATTTTTACACAGATACCAATAAATAATGCAAAGAAAATAACTGCGGAATGTTCAAGTTTTCATGCATTGATTGGGATAAAGTTCAAGTGCCAGTTTATGTGGGCACAGCTGGACTATGTTTTTTAAGAAGATAGCACTTTACCTACCTAATACACTGACCAGTATTTTCTTCAGTTTATGTTCACAGCAGCTTTATAAAGTAGAGAAAAATGCAGACAAAATTCGAGCAACACAGCTTTTTTCATTTTGACTGTATTGTACCTTTAAATCCTAATCGGTTCCACCTAAAAGTATTTAGTTGAGAAAATGTTCATAAAACATTTGCCCATGGTATTTCCTAGACCTCAAGGTTATTTTTATTGCCATCATGAAACAGAAAAAAAAAATGTTCATAGTACAAATTCTTCTAATGGACCTAAACGGTTTATGGAAGTGAGTTAAGATGTGGTGTCTGTGGTCTATCTTAGCAATGCTGACTCTGCTCCTTCTTTCTTTAATTCATAGGTGGTCTGATGGGTGGGGACCTCACAAGCGGTGCAGGCACCAGTGCAGGTAAATCAAAGATTTCTGATAATTGCAAACCTGCTTAACTTTTGCTAATGGCTGGAAAAAATATTACTTGTTTTAAGTTAAGGTCCTCTGGATTTAAAAAGGATGCTAATTTAAATGAAAACCACAAGCTACACATACAGCTATAGGTTAACTTCAGAGATGAATCTATGTACATAGATGTGAGTAATCTTGTTAATCTGGACTGTGTCTGCTGCTTTAGGTACACATAAATGATGTTACCCTGGTATACAGGCTAAGACCCCTCCTCTCTCACCAAGCACAATATAATCAATATCAATATTATTATTGAATAAGTATGTTCTTTTGTTGGAAAGCAGTCTTTTTTGTATGCAGTATGCACCAAAATGGCTGGCTGACTATTGTTTTAACGTCAGTGTTTTGTGGCTCTAATAAGCTCTTAAAGCACTTAAGTTTTGCTGCTAACTTTACCCATAAGTGACAGAAGTGACCGCTCAAAAAAAAAAAATCAAAGACAGCCTGCAAATGTTCTATGTCGGTGATACCTCCATCTTAGGCATTCACCCACAAGTGTCGAGTAGTAATATTTAATGTCTTCTCTCTAAATTGTTATATCTCTGCTGTATTTTTGTATATTTTTCTAGACAATATTCAATTACTTTTTTTTTAATGTATACAGCATTTGAATCTTATGAAGAATTATTGTCTAGATTTTGATGTTAGATTTTATATATCATCATATGAGGATTTCTACCTCTCCTCATCTCTCTTCAACATGTTGATTCTTTTATCTGCTTCATTTTAATTTTTAGGCTGCTTAGAAAGCTTGACCCACAGTGTTCTCTTCAAACACCCTATAAAAGAATATAGGAAAAGATGACAATTGACAGATTAGATTAGGCTAAATAGATTCTATTTCCCAGAGTAACTTGCCTCTGTATATTTTTGTGCAGTACTACAACTGTACAATTGTTAACAACACAGCAATTTCAGTATTGTACTCTGCTCTTCTTCATTTTGGAAAACTATATATATATATATATATATATATATATATATATATATATATATATAAAATGTGGGTTTAATGCAGATAACATCTAAGCTCCTGGATAGCCAGGTTTATACTTGGTTCAGACTTTCTACGCAAAAAAAACAATAATTTAACACACACACAGACACACACATCATCTATCTATCTATCTATCTATCTATCTATCTATCTATCTATCTATCTATCTATCTATCTATCTACATCATATCCACACAAATAGAGAAATAGAGAGATTTAGATATATGCATACAGCAAACTGAGTTCTGCTATCAGTGCCCATCCATACCTATGGAATTCCTGAACTCTCAGGTTCCCTAAATTTCAAGGTGCTCTGATTCATATATTTTGATACTTCTTGGTGGTCTTGTGTACTGATTAGCAACCTTCCCATTGGCCAGTAACACCACTCATCTTCAGGAGGTGTTGAAATATGTGTATATTGCACCCGGGCATTCAGGCAACTGAAAAAGCCTTGTAATTGTGGGCGCATCTAGCTGTTTGCATATTAGTTTATTAAAGGCTAACTCCACCTTTCTGACCATGTTTCATGTTACATGTATATTTAGGATGTAGTAGAAGACATGGTCATAGTCCAGTACTCCCCACCCCAAAATCGCCCCCCTTAAGCTGGTCATAGATGGATCAAAATTCGGCCGATTCAGCAGGGACCAGATGAATTTCAATCCATCTATTGACGTTCCCATATGTGAGAAGTTGATCCAGTGGACCTTTCATTCATACGTCTGTCCTCCATTTTTAGATTGCTTTTCATTGTAGGGAGTTATAGTACAGTTACTTTGAATTGAGCATGTTTTGGAACGGGAGGCATAGTTGGCACTTTTGACGAGTTCCTGCGGCAAGCCCAGTAGCTCATATTATTATTATTATTATACAGTAATTATATAGTGCCAAAAAGTTTTCTCAGCGCTGTACAATATAGTGGGGGACAGTACATGAGACAATATAGTAACAAAACAATACACGAGGGGTTTGAGGGCCCTGCTCTTTCGAGCTTACAATATTATGGGATATGGTGGGCAGAAGAATGCACATTTGAACAAACAGAGCAGCCACCAGCGCAAGGGACGCTTCTCATTCAAGTAATGTCTCCTGTATTGGTTTAAAAAATAATAATCTGAAGCTTTATTAAATGTACATCTCTTTATATCAAAGTGGGAGCATTTATTCATTTTTTGCAAAAGGTAGAGTAAATCTTTAAAACCTATATCCAGCAAAGGTAAAATGATTTATTAATTGGCAGTTTAGGTCTAGGGAACAGAGGAAAGAATATTTACTTATCAGATCTTCCTTGCTACTAGACAGGTCCCTGCAGCGTCTTCTTTCCCATGCTCCAGCAGTCTAAGGTCATGACATCATCAAGACCAATGCAGGGTCCATAGAGTTGTATTGGATGTGATGATGCAAAAGGACAGTCCACTGCAGGAGCATGGTGGGAGCGTCATCTACGGGGGAAGTGGAGGATTAGGTTAAAACACAAAAATCTCCCCCTAGACTGAACAAGTAGTTAACTCTTGCAGTGAGGGCAAGGTTACCACAAATGTAACTCGATTTCAGGCACTGGGAGCTAGAACAGAACATTTTGAGCAACTTACAGCAAAGAGAAAGTAGAGGTAGGACCTGAGCACTATAGTCTTATAGTCATTCATAGTGCCAGGTGAAGTAAAAGCTACAAAGATGCAGAAGCCAATAAATATGTCACTTCCTTGTCTATACAACCAGGCAGGGGTACGAGTGAATGGTTAGAGGGATTTAACAGGAGAAAAAATATTTTGGTAGCCAAAACAATACATATATATGAATTTCAGAGTTTCAGATTTCCATACAAGTGCAATAACATAAGAACACACATGATAATTTTTACTGCTGTGTTTAATGCAGTGGTGCCTATGTATTAAACCTATTGTGCTCCCAGTGTTCTATGACCATGCAGATAACACATATTCCTAAACAGGTATTTAGCAGTAATCTGGACAAATTCAGCTAAAGGAAGCAGCACCCTCACTATTTACTGGACAGAAGCAAGTCAATATTGTAGGCATATTAAGATACACAAGTAGAACCAAAGAAATTTTGTTTACTGACAATTTGCCAACAGTCTGTTTTGCCTGGCTGGGATCTAAATATATAAAAAAAAGATATCATAAACCTGTCTAAAATTAAACTCAAAGCAGCACTAATATTAAAAAAGACAACTACAGAGATACATATAAAATTATTAACATCTGATTCTATTTCTAATTAATTGGTTTTATCCATTTTTTGTAGTCATGATTTGGTGGAGTGATTAATACGTTCTATACTGCTCCCCAAATTCCTCATTCATACGGGAAAATGGACTGTGTGATTCCTCTTGTCATTTTTAGTGATTACAGATGTAAAATGATGTGATTAAGCCAATGACAGATCATAAAGAACAGTCTTTGTGTTTTATTTAATACTAGACTTGTTTACAGTGCACTATGAGGGGACACCATAAAGAGGCAGATGAGCAGTCAAGTTCATGGTAAAGTGAATACTGTCTGCCTAACAACATGTCTGAACAATACGTCTATTTAAGGCCCGTGTATGTCTACAGTACAGTTCCAGAGATTGCAATGTTGTCTTTGTTCAGTCCTTCTCTATATAACAGAGAGCTCTGTATGATCCATGTTTAAAAGTTTAAATTGGTGACATAATCATGTGGCAGAAATCTAGAAGTTCAGAGTCTTGGCTAAATTTAGAGTAAAAATTATCTACTGCTTATATTTCTATAGGAATTATACCATTTAAATGTGGAAAATACCGTGCTTTAAAAGATTAAACTTCCAGCTAAAATACAAAATTGTTATTTACCTATAACCTTTTAGTATTAAAATCTATGTTTAGGCAAAAAACACACATTCAGTACATTTGCACTTATCCATATATGCTGTCTCTTTAAATATGTTGTAAGTACAGAAATATACCTAATGATCTACTAGAAATACAATGAGCTCCAAACTAATAGTGAGATGACACCGCTACCTCTACTGATCTGAAATTCCATGCAGTGTTGTCAGCCCTACCCAGTTTTTCCCTGCTGGACTACAGAACAACTCTTCCTTGCCTAATCTACATTACATAAGGAAGAAGTGTTCTTCAGTCCAGCAGAGGAGACATAGACAGCATTGCTTGGGGTTTTCAGTGCAGCAGAGGTACTGTGTTGTCATCTCAAACAGAAAGTCAGACGCACACTGTATTTTTCATTACTTGTAGCATTTCTTTGCACAGGCATAGACTTTAAAGTATAAATTCATCTTCAGCAAGATTTTTCAAACCCCCCCATTTTATTCCCATATCCTCTGAATAGTAAATACCAGTGCTCCTCCTGTTTTAAATGGTGAACGTCCTCCCATTACACATGCAGTTGTTGGGACGCCACTCTACAAAAACTACCCAATCCCCCTCAATTCTATCATTTGCAGGATGGACAGGACAATATGGCAATATGACACAATATGACAATGGTTGTGTGTCATAGGGGAAATGGGCCATTCGGCCATTAAAACTTTGCATGTGCATATCACTCTCTTTCCTGCTCCAGCCAAGCTCAGTAATGGCCGTTCGGTATCATTCCAACGGTGTGCATCTGCAGTGTGCTCTGTCCTTCTCACTCACATTTTTAATGGTCTGCTGCAAATGGCAGGACAGAAGGGATCAAGGGGCCAGAATTTTTTGTAGAGAATACCCCCCAAAAAACTGCATATGTAGTGGAGGTAGTGCACTTGCATTTAAAACAGGAGGAGAGCTGGTATGTACAAATCAGAGGATATAGAATTGTATAGGGGGATTTGGGGAAAATCTTGCTTAAAGTGAACTTACTCTATAAAAACGTAGTCTCAACACCCATTCCCCTCAGCTTTTGAACTTTTATGGGGCTGGGAGCATCTAATAGAGACAGGATGCTGGTGCAAAGCCTAAACTAGGC